TCAATCGCTGCACAGTGCTGCCAAAAGCCAATCTAGCTGGAAAAAAGTCAAATTTTTGACATCTCAAAATTCACGCAATTTACTTCTTATTTGTTATAGAAATATTCAGTGCTCATAATTGTATATAAATTTTTTAATTGTTTATTATTTGCTTTGCTATGTAGATTCAAATATAAGCATTTGCTTTATAGCAGTTTTTATAAAATGTTGTCTTTTCTTAGCATCATTTTTGAACTGATCGTAGTAGCTAACAATAAAAGATTTTTACTTTTTTACTTTTTTTTAGCTAAACGAATATGTGTTTAATTAAAGTGTTTTAGTGTGAAAAAATTGTGGTCGAAAATATGTTATTTGTGTAATAAATATTTTGGATAGTCAGACAGATTTGCTGCTAATGCCTACAAATACGTTTTCAAGATGCAAATATACATACATCACATATCCATAACTCGGGGAGAGCTTCGTAAAATGTGTAGAATGTCGAAATGAAAAGCAAAAAAATACGTAATAGTATTTTACATATAGAGGAATACCGAACGACACGTTTTGGGGGTGGAATAGGTCTCCTTAGTATATAAAAAGGGCAATTTTGAACAAACTCTCTATTCAGATGTATTGAAATTTTTCAAGTTTTTAATTTCATTTTAATGCATGCGCAAATAAAGACTTCACTCCAAAAATGATCCAAATAGATTCAAGGGACCTCTAAATGTATAAATGTTTAAACAAAAAAAATTATGAGTTTCTATGGGAAGTGCCACGCCCACATAACGCCCATTTATGGCACAAAAAATATTTTTATCAAGAAAAACTAAATTTCATGCTTCTAGCTGCTTTCAAAAAGAAGTTATGACTTTTTTCCAGCTAGATTGGCTTTTCGCAACACTGTGCGCTGGTAGGGAACTGAGGACCATTCCAAAAAAATATTTTTTATTTTTCTCGTGTTCAGTACATTAATACGCATCGATTGAGTGGTATTCCTACATGAAATTCTTAAAAAGCCTGTTCCCGTTCCTGCTTTGCTAAGTCCAGCAAAAAATAAAAATTCAGAAAAAGAAAACGTGCTAAGTCCTAAAAAGACCGCCATAAGTATTCAACAGCATTATTTTTAAATTGTTTTACAACTAATATTGACATTTACAGATTTTAAAAATATGAAAAACAAGAAAAGTTATAAAGTTTTTTGCATCTCCTGTAAAATTTACAAAAGAGGACTTGTCACGTTTGCGTAGCTAACGATGTGCTAAATTTTAAAGTCTGGATGCCTGAAGGTCCATTAAAGAACCAACCAAAAATTACTAAAAAGCTCACTAACTAAAGAAATACCCTGCCAGCAATTTTGTAGTCGACTACTAGAAAAATTCACTTCTAGTTTACTTTTACAGACTGACTATAAGCTAACTACAATGTAATGCAGAGCTGTCCCGAAATCTTGTATTTGGCAAAGTAAAGAACCGACTTTTAAATACTAACTACAAGCTAACTATAATGTAATGCAGAAATCTGATGAGAATTAATTGTATTTCAACATGTTTTCTCTGTTATTATGATTTTATTTGTTAACTTTAGTAGACTGACTATAAACGAACAACAATGTAATGCAGAAATGTTCTAAAATTTGGTATTTATTAACGTAAACAACCGACTTTTAAAGACTAGCTACAAGCTAACTATCTTATAATGCGGAAGTACCCCAAAATTATCTGGAGAGCATTTTGTTTCGACATGTTTTCTCATGTTTCCTTATTATTTAGAATTTTGTTTTACATTTTTGTCATTTTCTTGTATACGTTGTGAAATTAGAGTCAGTAAATTGGAAAAATTAATTATAAAAGGTTAAATATTTCAAAACTCGGTCCCTAAATTCTAAATTCTGCTGATTAATACTGTAAATATAATACATTAACAGTTAACATTACACATAACATTTTAAAATTTATTTTAGATTTGGATCAATGGGAATCATGGAAATAATGAACAAATTATTCATAATTTTATGGATACCGGTGTTATTAGTAGTTCCCCTGCAGAAAACTGATGTCTATTAATTTTAACGAACTAATATCATAACTTGTATTAAAGCGAAATTTAATTTATATAACTAGTAGTTAAATTTTAAATATATTTAATTAAAATGTAATTAATTAATACAGTAGGGAACACAAAAGAAAACTATTACTTCACTTTTCTGCAACTAACTTTAAGTTAGTTAATAAACAGTTAACTTTAAGCTAATCTTTTTGTTACTAACTTTATGTTAGTTGAAAAGTCATGCAGAGTCGGACAATTGACTACTGGGTAGGACATCGTCATGTTAAAATAGTCAGTTGGCTCCATTAAAAATAATCCAAGAATCAACCATAACTAGTTGATGAAAAAGTCGGCTTTTAATGCATTTAAAGTTAGTTGAGTTGCTGGCAGGGTAAGATCACTTTAAATACTTACTATTACAATGATGTTTCACAATAATCCATAAAATATTTTTTTTTAAATGTTTGTCAATTTATTGTAAACACTTCACTTTGCGTTCATACCAATTTTTGAAAATAAAAAAACAATTTACATACATACATATGGGCAATTTTATATCAAGTACATACAAAGTTTTATTCAAATGAGTGTAACTTTTCACCTATTGGTCCTAGCAAAAAATGTCCAAGGGAGTTCAGATAGGTTACAAAAATCTGTTTTTGGCGAATATCTTGGTTAACATGCGTCGTACGCATTTTAATGCTGTTATAATTTCTACATTTTGGTTGAAGAATATTTTTGAGTATCATTAGTTGTTTTCGGGCTATAGTGCAGTATTTTTCCATTGCACTAATATTTTCAAATATTAATATAGATTGTACTAATAACAAATTTGTCATAATTTGTACGTTATTCATACGCAGTTAATATATGCTTATACACTGTTACACGATTTTTCTCAAACTTGCTCTATGACGCGTAGTGTCAGTCTATCCATAATTTCAGATAGTATCACAGGTCATATTTATGATCAGAATTAGAAAAAAATTGGTAGTCACAATACACATATTTAGAGTAATATTCCTACCAAATTATATTAAAATTAGACTTATCTTTAAATATTTTGCAACAATTTTTGAATTTTCAAAAGAGTAAAAACTCCATGGTTTACATTAATATTGGAAACAAGTCGGTTTTCTATATTCGTAGCCTGATTTCAATGAAATTTAGTGGAAATATTTTCCTGTCTTTGTAAATTATGTTGACTAGTCTTATATATTCATAATTGTGACCTGTGACTCCATTGGAAATTTCGGATAGACGGACATTGCACTATAGGTCAGAGTGTGATGATGTGAAAATGTTGAAAATGCCATTGTAATGAAATAATAATGCACTACAGCTAGAAAACAACTAATGTTATGCGAAAATATTCCAAAATGTAGGAAATTTAATTCTCTATAGTAATTAAGATAACATCAAAACGCGTACGACGCATAATAAGCGAGTTATTCCCTAAAAACAGATTTTTGTAATCCTTGACCTCCAATATCTCGCATTACAATACTTTGTATTAATATCAGAATTTCATTGTCTTTAATACAAAATTAATTTTGTTGTCAAAATGTATTGAACAATTTTCATTTATGTATTAAGAAACCTATTTTTTGATTTATTTTCAATTTCAAATGGATTACGAAGAAAGTTATGGTGGAAAATAAAGGAAAATTAAGAAAATTAAAATGAACAAAATGAGATCCATCCGACCAAAATATTTATTTTTTGGACACCTCTAGTGTCCATCCTTATGCACACGCTATAGGTCGCAATTTTCAAGATAATTTGATGAAATTTGGCACAAAAAAGGGCCCTTTTTGAAAAAAAAAAAATATATTTTTTTGGAAATAACTATCTAAACTCCTTTGAACAATTTGAATAAATATGACAAACTTTGACCCCCTCTAAGTTCGGCAGTTCTTGACCGATTGAGCTGAAAATTTGTGACTGACCTCCTATCCAATAGTACTACTAGCTATAGGTCCAATTTTCAAGATAATTTGATGAAATTTGGCACAAAAAGGGTCCATTTTGAAAAGAAATAGCTATCTAAACTGCTTTGGACAATTTGAATAAATATGACAATTTGAATATACATATATGACCAACTTTGACCCCCTCTAAGTTCGGCAGTTCTTGACCGATTGAGCTGAAAATTTGTGTCTGACCTCCTATCCAATAGTACTACTAGCACCAATAGATGAAAATCTCTTTTGAATAAAACCCTCATTTGAATAAAACCCTGTATGACAAAAATGTCCAACTTGACCGCATCTATCTCCGGCAGTTCTTGGCCTACAGAGCTGAAGGTTTGTGTCTGGTTTACTATCCAATTGTACTAACCTTGATGCAAATTTCATCCAAATCGATTTTTTTGAGTTGGGTCTCTTGACACGAAATTGCCCATGTACTATGTACATATGTATGTATAACATTATGCTCAACTCTACTCTACTAACAATGTAATAAAGACAGATAATTAGATCGAGGGAAATAGAAAATCCAAGGCAATAAATACAAATTGAATAAAGAATAAGCCTGTACATACATACATACATACATACATACATACATACATACATAACATACATACATACATACATACATACATACATACATACATACATACATACATACATACATACATACATACATACATACATACATACATACATACATACATACATACATACATACATACATACATACATACATACATACATACATACATACATACATACATACATACATACATACATACATACATACATACATACATACATACATACATACATACATACATACATACATACATACATACATACATACATAAATATATATGTATGTATGTATGTATCTCTGCAGCGAGGAGATGCCTTTTTAGTTAGTATCTTTATTTTTTTATAAAATTTAATTTATGTATAATACATAAATTATATTTATGTATGTCTGATTGTACTACATATTATATATTTGGGTGAATAAATGATTTTATTTACATAAAAGAAACAAAGTTGTGTTATGCATAAAACTAGATAAATAAAATAATGTAATAAATGAACAACTAAATAAGTTATTTTATTTCACTAATAATGAATATTTCAAATTTCGTGGGTTATATTTGTTATTTTTATATTTCTATAGGTAGTGTCTACATAAGAATTTTTAATGTTTTTCGAATTAAATATGCCGGTAATGGCACTCTATAAATGTATTTAGTTGTTTATCCTTTAGTGAACCATTATTATTTTGGTTTGAATAGACTTTGACTTTATGAATAAATCGATTTAGCTTAATAGTGTAAGGTAAATAATATGGTTTTTATAAACTAAACCAAGTTATTCATAATGAGGTTTGTATATATTTCTTTATAATTTAAAATTTTGTAACAGATTTGAAGTGTTATTCGTTAAAAATTAAGCACAAATAAAATTATTTTAAATTATGCATCAATATTTTCAGAAATGTTTTGAACAAATGTATATATAAACATATCGCTCATTGGTAACTAAAGCGACATGACTTAAATTCTGGTTGCATTTTTTTTATTGTTATAAATCAGGATGCACTAAGTAAAGTGAAATCGTTAATTAATTTATTTTTATTTTAAAAAAATTATATTTGTGTTTTCTAAGCAAAAAAAATTTTAATTTAAAATTATGAATTAAAATGTTCATAAAGAGTTTTCAAATAAGAAAGTTCAGATGAAGAAGCATTAAAACATTGTCCTGCTGCAGATAAATGTTAAATGTAACGACGGTTTTATAGGTAATATTGTGAAATACACAAAAACTATTTACATATTTCCAATGTTTATTATTTTTCAATATTAGAAATTTCATTTTGACAAAACCCAACTCTAGACAACAATAAAATATTGTGTTTGTTGCCGAAACGCTCTCACCTTACGTATTACATCATGATTATAAATATTAAAACTGAAACATTACGCTTAAAAAATGTTTGAACTCAATTATGAAAGATTCGAAACTAGAGTTTTTGAGTTATGACACTATGTAGTTAGAAATGAGCGATATGTTTTCAATTATTCTCTAATGTACATGTATGAATATAGAAAAAACGGTTGACTATTTTTCTTTGTGGATGAAGAAGTCTTAAAAATAAATTGTATAATTTACTTAAATATGTAAGTATTTATAGTAGATACTCTAATTATGTTTAGAACTAAATTGTTTCGTTGTTTTGCTTTTTAACATTAGAATTACTCTAATGCATTTAACTTTAGTTTGTGAATATTGCAGCCCGTTTTATTTTTATTGTTCTACATTGATGGTTATGATCATAGTTGGTCAATAATGTCCTCCACTATGTCGATGGTGTTCTCGCCTGCCCGCCGAATGGTCTCGGTATTCGCCATTGCGCGAGGAACCGTTTTTGTGATGATGGTGATGATGACGTTTCTTTTCTAAAATATTATTAATTATTAATCATTAAAAAATGGGTCGATATAGACAAAATGTGTTTACCTTTCAGACATACGTCAGAAACAACCATTTCAGAATTTTCACGCAATCCATAATTGTCTCGACCAACACTAAAACATTTACATTGACGATAAAAAACAAATACATACATTTCAAAAATTATACATTACCGTTCTAAATTCTCTCTGGACCTTTGAATATTTTCCCTTAAGTTATCTCTTGACCGCGTCATACTGGGAGGATCAAGAGTTTCTTTACGTCGGAGTGCATTGTGTGAACTGTTTTTAGAGGCTGATTCATGTAAATTTTCCCAAGCTTGCCTATAGTACCTACAATATAAACATATATATATATTTACATATTTATATTTAACATATAAGTTGTTTTCAAAGTGTACTATGTTTGTGTATTGCGTATTAAACAAATATACCGAAACTTCTGAAATTTCTGTGAAAAGTGTTTCGGAATTGTGTTTTCCCAACCCTTATAACCCCACTTGCAGAAAATAAGTTTATAATAATAATAAGTTTATAAATAAATGGTTCAAAAATAATGGATATAAGAATAATTATTATTATAATAAAAATTATTCATTATTTCAATTTTGTAGAACGCGGTCCATAATTGATAATTGACTGAAGCCCCCATTAAACTTATATTGGACTTACTTTTTTAAATAAACTTTCAGTTGGCACACAACTTTTTACAAATAACGTTGTCTTGGCGCTGTTATAAGCAAGGCAAAAAATTGCGATTTTTCAAATTCTGATTCGGATACAGCGCAGCTTAATCCTTTAGAAACGTCTCACTTATTCTCAAGGTTTCGACTTTTTTCAAATTTTGTTGGCCTGTGTTAGTAATTGCTGTTTAATTTCCAACTTAAAAACCATAACCAATTCTAATCCCGATTTTGACGAAATTTGCACCAAGATCAGTACTATTGAATAGTAGGCCATACACAAATTGTGAGCACTATCGGAACTGCAAAGTTGGTCATACAGGGTTTTATTCAAATGAGTGTAACTTTTCACCTATTAGTCCTAGCAAAAATTGTCCAAAGGCGTTCAGATAGCTATTTCTTCATTATTCAAAAAATCATTTTAAATATTTCTTTTTACTTTTTTTCCAAAAACTCCTTTTTTTTGCTCAAAAGAAAGATGGGACTATAAGGGCTTTATAGTCCCATAATGGGATGCAAGTGGGATACTTAAAAATAAAGTTATTTTTTAACATAAGAATAAGATTTTTTCAATGTTTGGCACTTATATTCAGCAAATGAACGTTTTTGTTGTATTTTTTTTTTTTTGCTCAAATGAAAGCTTAGATTATTTCCTTTAAGAGCTTTGTGGTCACTTAGTGGGATGTGAGTGGGATATCTATAAAAAATACTTGATCTCAAAAAGCAATGTTTTCAAGTTAAAATATTTTTTTTTTACATATACCGCTTGTGTCCCACTAAGCTTTCATTTGAGCAAAAAAACAACAAAAACGTTCATTTTGAAAAAATAGGGGATATTTAAGATCCTATCCCATCCCATTTCTGCATCCAACATCAATATCAATAATGATTTCTCAGGGACACTTTAGCTTTATCTACATGATTGGATGATACTGGTCGATGTTTAATAGGATCAAATTTGATAGAAAATGTATTTATACTGTACTCCTAGTTAAAAAAAATAGAAGACAAATGTTCAGTTAAATGGCGTTTTTGGTCGACAACTACCCAAAATATGTTAAAAGTACAGAGTGGTGCTGTTTGGAAGCGAGCGGTATTGTTCATGTTTGCAGTGCCCAGTATAATTTCTAGATACCAATCTAATAGAGAACATTTAAAATTATATGGAGCAACAAATAAAAGCAGACATCCCATGAATTTTACCAATTTAAGGCCTGAAAGTTATAGAATTTTTCTTTTTTTATTAATAATTTAATGATTTTTTATATTTTGTGCGTTTCTTAAACAAATTTCCTTACTATGTTGTCCATAAAAGTAAAAAACTAAAACTAAGTTTAAATGTGTTGAAATACCTTTCAATCATAAATTTAAATACATTGGTATTTATTTTAATAAACTTTTTAAATTCAATGATCAGGGCAAAATTATGCATGTTAAAACAAATTTATAAAATTAAAGGATGTTTTGGGAGAGTGTTAACCCATAAATCATTGCCTATCAGGACAAAACTGTTAATTTAGAAAACCTGTTTAAGGCCTGTTTTACGGTATAGATTTCCTATTTGGTTCACTATTTCTCCCACTTTAATGAATTAATTTGAAATTTTTTAAAGAAAGGTATTACGATTATGCATTGGAAAAAGTTTTGTTTCAAGATTTAAAAGATACTCAAATGTTGTAATATAAATATGAAGAATCAGGTGTAATACCGTTGAGCTTTAATGTTGTTGATATTTTTAAAAGATACGTACATTGTACATAAAAAGACTAAGGGGGTTATTTTATAAATCCCTTCCCCTCACTTCACTTCATTTTTCATATAAATTGTTTTTGTATTTTAAAAAATTTGTATGAAAATATTTTCAACGCAAGGTGAAGTGTTTTACAAAATAAGGGGGTAAGTTATCATGAGAACATTATTATTAAAAAAAAAATGATTCTCAAATAGGTTTTAATTTAACAAATACACCATACGTATCTCCTCTTGGAGTACAAAATGAAAATATTTTTTTTAACACGGCTAATTTGTCACCGGATTTTTTTTAAAAAACTTATCCTGGCGCTCACAGGGATTCATTTTTTATTTGAAGTTTGTTTTCTTATCTCTAGATTGTAAGATTTAATATATATACTCTCACGACATTGCTAGCCTCGGGAGCAAGGGCTTTGACATTCAACTTTTAATATACAATTTAAACTATCATTGTTAAGTTTGGTACTGTATTTTTACGATATTAATATTTGTTTAAGACATTACATTATAATTTTAAATATTTCCTATTAGTTATTTTAATATGCATATGTATGTTGTTCTTATAAAACTGGTTTCATAAGTCTCAATAAATATAACTTTAACTTTATATTTTGTGCTAAATTTATGTCCAGATATTTTAGGGGGTAAATTTACTTTGGAAAGAAAAAACCTACATATGTATATGCAACAAATTAAGGGAACAAAATGTAATGTGTCGTGATCCTCGAAGGACAAGTTAGGAACTATAGGAAATATTTGAAGATATATTTAACAGATACCAAATGCGCTAACCTCATGGCCGCAATTGTATGTATCTAAACAAGCAGTGAAAAATTTTTTTTGTGGAGTTTCGTTTAGACTCTTAAAAAAGATATTTACACGTTTCAGGACAATTTAAGAATTTTAGCATCCATTTTTTATCGCATATTTTTGCATAATAGCATATTTAATAGTGTATTCAAACAATTAATCGTTCGAATAAACGAAATTTGCCAAATTTCAAAAAACAACTATTCGATTAATAAAAACTTACTATTTAACAGTAAAATAGGTTTCCTCCTTGATGATTTCAATAATTAAGAAAATCTATTTATAAATTCATTACTAATAACAAATACTTACCTATTTAAACCATTTCTAGAGCCCGAAGTAGAACTATCGAATGAGGCAACTGTATTGCAGTCGGGGGATGCTCTATGTCGATAATGTTGAGTAGTACGATTTCTGAAAGAAAAAAATTGGAAATATTAATAAAAAATATAAAAAAAAAAACAAAAACACAAATATTCTTTGGGTGTTAGACACAAGACAAAATGATTTGATATTTAAAAAAATTATATCACAACAAATCTATCTACTGTGGGTTAGAAAAACAATTATAAGAACAGCAAAAAAATATCAAAAATCAAATATCTGTTATTCACAAGACGTGCAAAATAAACCGAATCCGCTTATTTCAAACACAAACGTGCTTTCAAAAATGTTTTATAGACGTGCAACAGCAACAGGCGGCATTTGCAAAATAAATGGAAGTATATTTTTTGAGGATTAATTAGAAATCTACTAGATAGATAACTGAGATCAAAAAAGAAAAAGTATTAGTGAGAAAATTACATAAATAAGTTATTGTAGGACCAGTGCGTGTTTTAACTGTGTTATTTATTGTCTTCGCTCTCACTTTCCTATTTAGTTATCTATCACCTGTATTAATGGTTTATTTTTGAATATTTTGTTACCACAAAAGTAACGCATATAATTTTGTAGTTTGGAAAAATACACAGACAGCTTACTTGTTTGACTTAAAATTATTTATTCTATTTATGTATATGCACAAATATGGCCGGATTTTTGTAAATTTTTCGCATTTTTCGTTTTAACAATTTTATACATATGTATATATGTATGTATGTAAAGTTGTTTTAATTTATTAATCTTTGGCACGATGTCTCCTATTATCCTAAATTGTTTGAGTATGTACTATATATATGTATATTAAGGTATCTTATTGTTCTATTTATTCTTCATTGTGTTTAATTAAATGTTGTTAGATGGGAACATTTCTTTATTGTTTATTATTGATATTTTCTTTTTGTTGATGTTGTTCGTTACTGAATATTCCAGCTCTGGCAGCATAACTACGTCCACAAGTACTCAATTCACGTCGGCCCAGTTTTTGATCATCAAAGGGTAAAGCCAAAACACTGTTCCACAGTGAATTAGGAGATTCTTTTTTAATACTTGAACATGTGCTATAATGATCATAGTGGCTTTGTGGTCTTATAAATTCCGTGTTTCCTAAATATGATTTTTTAGCCTCAAAAGTCGAAGCGTTGAATTGCGTGGTCATCGTTGGTGGTGGGGGCATGTAACGCAAACGAGATTTAGGCATGTAATATGGTGGTAGAGACGAAGGATAAGGAAAATGTTTTGCATTGTGCCACCGTTTGCTGTTTGAGGTGCTAAAGGAAAGGAATCAAAACATTGATTTGTTTAATGAAATGCAAAAAAAAAAATAATAGAAATGTACATGAATTTTAAAAACTTGTACATTAGACCGACTAACTCACTCTATATGGAAACGTAATCTTTTTTAAATTTTACATTGTTCTTTTTTAAAATTTAACCTTGTTTTTACCGTACGTGAGTTGGATCGATTTCCAAAATGGTGTTTACGGTATTTTTTTAAATTTCAGTATCTTAGTATTTTTCTTAAGACCGCCATAGTTCTTACAGCTTAAATTTTTTAAGGTATTTTATGAAGTTAAAAATTTGTATAGCACAACTTTTCAAGTTTTACACATTGTTATGCGCGACTTCAAAAATCTCTTTATGATACCCATGTTGCATATTTTCTTAAGAAAGAAAAAAAGCAGAAAAATATATTTGAAAACAAAACAAGGTTTTTTTTATTTTTTTTGAAGCCGAGCTCAATTTTAAATTAAACATGTTAAAAATTGTCCTTTAAAATATTTTTTTGAAAATGGCCAAGGTACGAACCTTAAAAACTAAGAGATGGATTCAAGCACAATTTTTTGTGAGTCGGTCTATATACAGAAAAAAAATAAATTTACGATTATGTATATTTAGTAAACAGATTAATTGAAAAAAAAATATTTTTTTTTCAATTAAAAAAATATGGTATTAGCTAAAAAATTTATTAAAAATTCACATCAATTTCAAACAAATTTTTTAACAAAACAAACATGAATTTTGATAAATTTTAAATTAATTATCAAACTAATTTTTTTGCTAGAATCTGCAAAAATCTTTATTGAAAAATGTTTAGATTTAAATCAAATATGTTAATAGAAAAAAGTAAAATATTTACTGAATTTTTCATATATAATTTAACAAATTTGTTTACCAAATCTACAAATAATTTGAATACTGAAAAGAAGAAACTTATTTTTTTACTTACAACACTTGTAAGAAACCCGAAATTTTATTTCTCATTTTAGAAACTCTTATTTTGTACAGTTAAAACTGAGATATGCATGTATGCACTTATACATTAAATGTTATAAACCAGGTTACAATTACATCAATTCATTTTAGTACATTCCAAAAAGGTGTTTTATTGTTGTATTCCATATGCAGACATAAAAAATAATTCAAACAATAACATTTATTGAATCAGTAAAAATATTTATCTGTGTAAAAATCAAACAACCTCGTTATAAAACCAAATAAAAATATTTATAAAAATCGAAATTAAATTTAAACAAGCGATTGTTAGGAAAAAAATTTTTCATATGTATATTTTTCTGTGTAGTAAAAACAAAAACCAAAACAATAATTTCCCTTGTTTACAAATTAAGGGCGTAATTTAGAAAATCCTTATGGGAAAAGTTGTGATATTATAGCTACTTGATCTCTTATTGGTATCTACGTATTTCTATTGATAAACGAAGAATTCTTTCTTCATATGCATAGCTAAAGGCATTCTGTGCATTCCATTGTAATATCGATGGAACTCGGCGACGGTTCCCCTATGAATAAAGTTAGAATACAGCCTTCTCCTGTATGATATCGAGTAGCTCTGTATGTGGAAAAGCTTAATTTTTATGTCAACTCTTATGTTTAACACTAATACCATCATACCACAATCCTTAAATAGCGGAAAAACTGGTCTTGTTAAGATTTACAATTTTTTCCAGACCATTTGGACCAAAATACATTTTAAAAAGTATTAACAATTTTAATCCAAGACACAATTCAGTCGTTAAAAGTGGTCTAATACCAGGGAAAGCAAAAATATGTTCTAAAAAAGTTTTTTAAGCGCATTAAATAATCAATAAAAAACTAAAAATATACTCCTAAAATGTATCTCATAGTTTGAAGAACTAGTTTAATTCTGTTTTACGTTCAGATAACCAAAAAACCAGATAAAGCCACATGTGATTTAAAGAACTATATCATAGGATTTAATGAAACTAATGAATTTTTTGCCATTTTCAAGCTACATATCGAGCGACTATACACAGAAAAAAACTGAAAATGTGTTTTAATTATCAAATTGATTGTATCAAGCAAGTTTTGCACCTATCAACAAAATGATGATATCAATTATGAAATTTGTAAAAAAATATTTTTTTCCAATTAAAGTAATAATCAAAACAATTAACATCAGTAATTAAATTCAAAATTAGTTAATTCATTAATTGGATAAATTAAATATTTAATAAAATAAAACTTACATTTTAATTAGTTTATCAATCAATTAAATTGAACAGTTTGGTTAAAAATGTATTAAAAATCAATAAAGTCGATGATTGAAACAATCAAAGCATTAATTGAATGCTTACAACATTATAGGATTCCTTTACCTTTAACAATGCGTAAAGCACTCTCAAAAATATCTCTTTATTGTCACATTTGAACAAATAAAGTGATTTATAAATTTTAAAATATTTATGAAACATCAACTTCTTATGCCTAAAATATTATTGAATATTTGAGAATTATTTTCCGTTATAAATAATGAAATTATTTAAATAAAATATCAAAACAAAAAACCAAAATAAAAAAAGTAGGCTGGAAAAACTTTTTCAGCCAATTAAAAAATTAATTGATTCAATTAAAAGTTTAATCAAATTTGTATACTTAGGATCAAAACAATGAGATAATTATGACAATTAAAAAATTGTTTAAATAAAAGTTAAAGAAAGGGGAAAACATGTTAATTGAAAATAAACTGCCGATAATTTTTTCTGTGTAGTCACCGATTTGGACAAAATTTTGTAAACACGCAAAGGAAGGTCCACGAGAGTGAGAACCTTAATCTTTAAAAGTGCTTAAAAATTTCGTAAAAAGGGCCATAACTTTGCGTGTTAAAGATAATGAATATTTTATTTTTGCATAAAATTCTTCAAAACAATCGTTTTGTGAAATTATATAAAGTTTTTTTTTTACATATTTTTTTCTAAAAACAAAATTCACTTTCAGGACACTTTTCTATAAATTGTTCCTTATTCTATTTGAAATACTCTCTCAATCACGCTGAGCCCGTTGCCAAAGCTCCTCCAAATTGCACGATTTTGGTTCCAGGTAATGCAGGCTAAGAACCATGTTGTTTTCAAAAAAAAAAAAAATGAATATATGATCCATGTCTGCTTTAATACTCCAATAATGTTTAGAGGGCAGTAGTTTTTAGATTAGCTAAATGGATCATATACTCCAATAATTTTTGCAGGGTATTTCATTTCTCGGAAAAAAACAAACTGCTTTTGATTTGTTTTTTTATATTTTTCGTAAAAATTATTGAGAGCTTTCTCAAATAAAAATCAGGCAATGATTTTTATTTTTTGAAATGAATTATAAAAATCATCATGAGAGTTTTTAAATTTATTTACATTTTTGTTTTGAATTTGAATTTGCTGAAATTTAGAAGAAATTAGATTCGAAAATACGAAGTTATGTTGTAAGTTTTTTATGCTCTTAAAATAATTTTAAATCATTGGTTGATATATATATTTATTATATTATAATAATATAATATTATTTCCAATTATTCAAAATTAAGTTTGAAAATTCGAAGTTCGAAAAATTGTTAATTCTCTTAAAATAATTTCTGAATCATAAAAACTAAAAATGAAATTTTCGAAAATCCGAACTTAAATACAAAAAAAAATTAAATCTGATAAAACTAGTAAACGTAGTCCGACATTACGTCAAAATAGTCGAAATTAAGTTCGAAATTGTTAAAATATTCTTAAAATCAAAATTATTCTCAAAATTCAATTTGAGACCAATTTATTAATTTCGAATATATTTTGAAAAAAACATGTATAATAGAGTGTCCCGAGGAACAGTCTTCGATTTTTTCAAAATGGGTCTCAAATATTCCGTAATTTTCTGCTGATTACGGGAAAATTTTTGTATTTTTTATAATAATTGATTTTATATTTTCTATGGCTGGGGAGCCGTTTTGAAGAAAATAATTGTGTTTTTTTTAATAATTTTATATTTTGCATATTAATCAAAAACGTTTTTATTTTTGTATGATTTCAGGTATATTTTTTACTGTGTAATATTGTTATTTTGGCCATTGTGGCTTATATTACTGAATTATGATAATAAATAAAAAAATAAAAATAATCTTAAAATTTTTTGTAGACTATTTTTGGTTCACAAAATAATTTTTAGTGAGTTGTGGAGGCATTTTATTTTTGTTTTTTGTCGAAATAGGTATCAAAATTTTTCTAATTTTTAGCTTACACAGAAAAATGTTTAAAAAACCGTTTGGCATTTGGTATAGTCCATTTAGGATTTTTTTTAGTTTTTTTTTGAAAATAATATGCCCCTTGTAATACACTATTGGACGTGCGGATTCAGACGAATGTAGAGCATGTAGAGAGGACAGTGAAACTCTGAAGCACTTTCTTTGCGATTGTCAGCCTTTCGCCGAAATTAGATCCAAATATCTGGGAAGTGATATTATTCCGGAATCCCTCACGAACACTGGTTGAAAAATTCTTAGGAATTACGTCCAGGAAACTGAGTTTATGAACATCAGACGATAATACATTTAGTGAATACTATATAAGGTTTTTGTTTTTACCAACAAACATTTTCCATGAAAAGGAACGCACAACAGGCCCGACAGCGGCCTTGTGTGTTTCGGTTCACAAATACACAATTTAATTATTTTTGCCGCTATAAGCTCAACACCCATTTCGAAAATATTGCATAACATTATTTTTGAACATATTGTACTGAGATCAAGATTTTCAATCGCATGTTTTCTTGTATGTACCTAGTACATTAAATACGCATCGTTTGGGAGGTATTCATCCAAAAAAGTGGTCCACGGGATTCCCTAATGAATAAATTATCTAAATACCACGATACGTATTCTTAACTGGTTTATAAATAACTGTGTGGTGATAACATCAACAAGTTTTAAAGGAACTTTAAATTTCATGAGATTCGGTTTATATTTGATCAGATCGTTTCATATTTGACTTATCCTATATAGTAATTTTAATATTATGATAGTATTATATAATTTTAATTTTCATAATTCTCTAAAGCTCGATCCATAATTGACCTAAGCCCCTATTCCGAAAATTGAACTAATGTTCATATCAATATAAATATACAATAATAAAATTCAGTATTTGAAACTTATAAATAAGTACATCGTGATAGCAAATAACACAAGAATCAATATATGAAAACCTATGCTATATGTATATAGGGAAATTGAAATTGACTTAATATTTACGGCACATGCTTTGATAGTGGGTAAATAAGATAAGATTTGGCATAGCCGTGTTATATTCGGATATTTAACTATTATAATTCATTCGTGATTTTTCAATAATAACTCACCTGCGTACTAAAATAACAATTGTCGTAATTACTGCAGCAAGGAATACAAAGCCTCCGAAAGCACCCAAAGCAACAATTGCTCCCAAATTCAATTTTGCTTCCTTCGTTTCTTTGCGATCTGGATTATCCACGGATATAGGTACATTGACATTAGGGGATTGGTTATGACGTATATTAACACTATCCGAAATTTCATTGTCTTGAGGATGTGCATTTTGAATGACATTTTGAATGTTATGTGTTGATGTTTCCAAAGTAGACGAAGGAATATAAGGGACACGGTTATGAGTTGGACCATAACCAGATGATGGTTTCGAAGTGCTTGTAGAATAAGATGCAGTGGAACTAGGAATTTGGAATGCTGGAGTGGTATTGGGTTTCTTAGGTACAATTACTGGTCTCAGGGTACGTCTAGGAGGGAATTCTTCGCGCACAGTACCGGGTACCACATATGTAACCTCTTCATCGGAATCAGCTAAAATCAGGCAAAAAGTGTCATTAAAAAAAATAAAAGCGCTAAAAATATTTACTCACTTTCACTATTAAGTTCAATATTTGGACTCTGACTGGTGCCAAGAGCTGTGCTGCTAGTAGAAGTAGTGGTTGGTTTGTATATTTTCTTTGTTGTTGTAGTAAGTTTGGGTCTATATGTTGTTGTAGTTGGTAAAGTAGGTGTTGGGGATGGTGAGGGAAGTGTTATTGGTTCCAATTTAATGCAACGTGGTAGAGCACTGCTCCATTGTCCCGACGACAGACAAGTTATTACACGTGGGCCTTCCAAACGATAACCTGTAGGACACGAGATTTCTGCTTTAGATCCAAAGAAGGTACCGTTTGGAGCAGAAATAATCGTACTATAGTAGTTGCCAGGCAATGTATCACATTCCACAACTTAATTAAAATAAAAAATAATATGAAACAAATCTTAAACTTTTCCTCAAATGAGCAAACTTACTCTCACAACGTGGTGGCGGGCCATTCCAACGTTCATCAAAATCACACGTCAATAAAGCTCTGCCTACCATTTCATAACCTTCCTGGCATGAATACTTCACCAAACTCAAATATCCCACTGTACCATTCAAGAGGTCATATGTGCCGTGAGGTATAGAAGCGGGCAGACCACATTCGATATCTGTAAAAGAAGTGCTATCACAGATATTTTTTATAATATTGTATTAAAGGACTTACATTTGCAGACGGGAGGAAACTCATTGTAGAAGCCAGTTTCTAAACATGTTCTTGTTGATGGACCAACTAATAAATGATTAACATCGCAAGTATATTTAATATGAGCTCCAACTTCAAAGCCATTCTGTGCAACCATCGTAGAATTAGGAGGTTGTTCGGGTCTACCACAAGTTTTAGGTTGGTGTTGACAAATGAAATTTAACATTGTATTGCAATTTGTATCACTCCATAGCCATCCCTTAGAACCGTCAAATCTAGCGCAATCTTCGTCACCTCCTGGATGATTCCAAAATGAAACAGTTACTTCCTCACCGTTAACCCATTTCCAGGTATTTCGATCTTCGGAATCTCGAACAGCACCCATCCAATATTGAGAACTTATATCACTGCGATGTCGACGCCATAACTCCCAACTGATGAAGCCTTGAAGGGCTGGATTGCTTTCGCTGATTAATGTACCACCGCGTGATCGACAAAAAGACAAAGAGTCCAAAAAATTCAAAGGTTGTCTATTGTAAAAAATGTAGCATTTTCCATTATATGAAGCTAAAGCACCTGGAGGCTGATCTCGGAATGTAGGACAACGCTCAATAGGTAATGCTTGATCAGTATAAACGAATGCTTCACAGATAGAAAGTTGATTGGGAGTATTATTTTCTAAATGTACTGAAACGAAAGCACCAGGCATCGGGGGATTACAAGGTAAGAACAATGGCTGTCCTTCTTCTAAAAGACCCGTAAATCGGTTGCAAATGGGATTGGTTCCTAAATCAGGTCGGTTGTTACCAACGCGCACAACAATGGTAGCAGGTTTATTACCTAAAAATTATATTAAATTACAATATCGTATAAATTTAAAAATGATTTAAAAATAGTGAAAAAAAGTGAAACAACTTTAAAAATCGATGTCTTTCGATTTGGATGAAATTTGCACCATGATTAGTACTATGGGATAGTAGGCCGGACATAACTCTATCGGTCAAGAACTGCCGGAGTCAAAGTTGGACATTTTGGTCATACAGGGTTTTATTCATGTGTGTAACTTTTCAACTATTGGTCCTAGCAAAAATTATCCAAAGGAGTTCAGATAGCAATTTCTTAAGGGCAAATCTTTAGGTGAAAGATTAGCGATTAAATTAAAATGAATCCTCAAAAGTTGTCTTTGAGTACTCAATTAGTTAATTTTGTTTGCAAGTTTAAGCGCCCAATGGAGGTGGTTTAAACTTAAACATGAAATGCAAAAGTGTAAACAGCTGATGCAAAAAAAAAAAAAATAATACAATTTTTATATATATAAAAAATATAATTGATTAGTATAAATTATGCACACCAAAAATACATTTTTTTGTTTTTAAATTTAAGTTTTCATTAATTTTCATATTAAATTTACAATTGTCTTCTTCTTTTTTATAAAAAATGCATTGTTTTGATAACAAACTGTGACATTTTCTGTTGTTTTGTATGGCAACACTGCGAAGTTTAATCTTGTACTCAAAAACATCAAAAGGGATTAACATCAGATTAAATTTACGATTAGATTAACTAATCAGATTATTAATTGGCATTTGATTGCCAACTCAAAAACCCGCTCTAAATGTATTAAAAACAACACAATACTTTAAGAAACAATTGAAACAGGAATTATAATACATATTAATTTATTTCTGCGTTATTTCTCGTGTAAATTTTTTTGGACCAATTTTGCCCCAAGGAAAAAGGTGAAAAGTTACACTCATTTGAAAAAAACCCTTTATGACCAAAATTTCTAAATTTATTTCCATCTAACTCCGGTCGTTTCATCCAAATCGATTTTTTAAGTTGGAACACTTGACACGAAATTGCCCAAATATTTTTTTTAATATGTTCCTCATTTTACATACGTATGTATATGTACATACATATGTATATGCATAAATTCTTCCTATTTATTGAAGGTTTTTAATAGCAAGTTTTTCTTCTCCATGCTTCTAATTCACGAATGCTCCTTAACTTAAAATAACTTAAAAAACCATGTGGTTTATTGCAATGAATAAATAAATCATTCTTCATTTTAATAAAAAATGAGAATTTTAATAGAATTATTGAAGATTTAGAGTTGTTTTCACAGACATCCTTTGTTTTTCTAGTTGTCAAAAGATCCAAAAAATTTTTCTTTAAAGCGGCACTAGATTGTTCATTGATCATGTGTAAACGAAATTAATTTACATACATACATACATACATACATACATACATACATACATACATACATACATACATACATACATACATACATACATACATACATACATACATACATACATACATACATACATACATACATACATACATACATACATACATACATACATACATACATACATACATACATACATACATACATAGATACATACATACGTACGTACATATGGAAACCCCTAATTAATTACATATATTATATTCCTTTTCCTCATAATGCAAACTCACTTTCAATTTATTATCATTTGCACTGGTAATTGCGACAATATTTTGTAACTATGAATGTATGTATGTATGTTTTAAAATAAATAAAATATTAACTTTATTTACTTAGTTATACATACATACATATGTATGTATGTACACAGGTATATGTATAAATAAATACATACATTTGTACATAGTTTTCAGTGAAAGTTATCTCAAATTATTTAAGAAATAATTTTTCCCATAAAGCAGTTTTAGTATCTCTCTGATCTCCTAAGTTCATTTCGACTGCCAAGTGTTTTAAAAGAGAAATTCTCTGTTTCATGGCGCTCATTTACAACAACTACTCTAAACAAAGTCGTACAAATTTGAATTAACAAAAAAACTACGTATTTTCGTAAGTATATACATATGTATGTATGTATACCCCACATCTTCGCAAGTGAAAGTATGTGAGTAAGCGTTCAAAAGATTGACAAAAATAAAAAATGTGTATGAAATGTTTTTATTAATGTTCGTCAACATTCCTATACAGTGGACACTTTAACGATCGACGCGTTATTTTGTTGATATAGTGCGTTATAAACATACCACAACACGATTTTCCGAAATCCAAACGCACTAATTGTACCATGTACGGTTCCAACAGGTTGACATACCACCATGGTGATCGCTCCGGTTTTGTGAGTGAACAGGTCTCTGGGGTATAGAACGCAGATGTTGAACCATCTATAGATTTTTGTGGTGCACCGGTACCATCCGTAGAAATCTGCATTGGTGCTTTGCCAGCAGCAACATTTAGTACTGAAAAATTAAAAAAAATTAAACATAAATTAAACATTTAGTACTGAAAAATTAAACATAAAATATTTAATAAGCATACATATATATATGTATGTATGTATGTATGTATGTATGTATGTATGTATGTATGTATGTATGTATGTATGTATGTATGTATGTATGTATGTATGTATGTATGTATGTATGTATGTATGTATGTATGTATGTATGTATGTATGTATGTATGTATGTATGTATGTATGTATGTATGTATGTATGTATGTATGTATGTATGTATGTATGTATGTATGTATGTATGTATGTATGTATGTATGTATGTATGTATGTATGTATGTATGTATGTATGTATGTATGTATGTATGTATGTATGTATGTATGTATGTATGTATGTATGTATGTATGTATGTATTTATGTATTTATGTATGTATGTATGTATGTATGTATGTATGTATGTATATATGTACGTGTGTATGTATATACATATGTATGTATGTATATGTATATGTATGTATGTTCATTAGGGTTATAACATTATGCAATTTTTGTAAATATCAAAAATACCATAGCAAGGCCTTGTACAGCGTCAACAGATGTTACGGAATATGATATTATTTTTTCGCGATCGTGAAGAAAGTTGCCGCACCAAACGTGTAGGTAATGCTGTGGTATTTTACCGCTGTGGTATTTTTCCCTAATATACATTAGAGGTGTTTTGAAGAAATTAAGAAAAATCCTATTATTTTCCCGTTATTCGAACATTTGTTTTTAATTTCAGCCAACAAACACTAAATGCCAAAATAATAAAGAATATTTTTTTCGCTTGTAAAAAGTAAATTCTTTTCGGGTTATTAAAAGTGTGCACAATAAATCACAAGTGATATTATCCTCGAAAATAATCACTTGATTTAATTTTTAAAAATATTGATTATAGCTTTTAAGGACAGGCCTAGCATTCATGAAAACAAGGTTTATTTTATTATCAGGGTAGTCGTAAGTTATGTCAATTCCTCCTATTATACAAGAGAGTTTTAACAATTTGTTCACATACATACAATGTATGTACATTACTTGTATACATAATTAAATAATTTTATTTAATGTTAATTTAAATACATACTTTAAAAATTAATATTTATTGTAGCCTTCAATTAATTAAAGGGGCAATCAAGAGCTTTGCTCCCTATAAAGCTGCAGGGCCGGATGGAATTTTCCCGGCACTTTTGCAGATGGAGGCGGGACTGGTTTCCGTACATCTGTCACAGATATTCACTGCATGCTTAAAATTGGCATATACCCCAGTTAAATGGCAGGATGCAAGGGTAATATTTATACCCAAACCAGGGAAACCTAGCTATGCGACACCTAAGTCCTATCGACCGATAAGTCTTACCTTGGAACGGATAGTCGATAGCATGGTTAAAAGCAGCATACCATACAAATCGAAGGCGCTTTCAATAACGTGCACACTGATACCCTTATCCAATCCCTAGACCAGTTTTATGTTGACCGGGTGCTCCGTAACTGGATCAACTACATGCTAAGGAACAGATGGATAAGCTGCGAGATGTACGATATAACTATCAGGATAAAGGTATTTACTCTGGGTTACCACGATTAATAGCCTCCTAAGGACCCTAACCGAGAAAGGATTTAGACCTGTCTGCTATGCAGACGATGTCGTAATACTTTTAAAGGGAAAGGATCCAAATTACTTGTGTAGAAGAGCTGAGGAGGCTCTGAATACGGCCTTGAGCTGGGCTCAACCGAAAGGCCTCAATGTTAACCCGGCGAACACGGAAATCTGTCTTTTCAAAAGAAAGACAAAAATTTCTACATATACTGAACCTTGCATCTTGGTCAAGAAGATACCGGTGACAGACAAAGTTAAGTACTTAGGTGTAATACTTGACCGGAAATTAAAATGGAGACACCACATAGAGGATAGAATCAACAAGGCACATCGGTGCTGGGCGATATGTAGGAGAACCATAGGCATGAAATGGGGTCTTAGTCCTACTATGACAAATTGGCTTTATAAAAGTGTAATTAGACCAATTCTAGCTTATGCTTCAATAATCTGGTGGACTGCTTTGGACAAAAAGTGTAATATCAAACTACTACAGGGAGTTCAGCGTACATGCTGCTTGGGTATAAGTGGTGCCATGTGTACTACTTCAACCAAGGCTCTGGAAACGTTGCTAGATATTCCACCCATTGAAACATATATAAGATATGAGGCGGCGCTTACAGCCGAACGGCTCTTTACTTTAGGCGAACTGGCCAAAAACGGTTATAGGACACGTCATCAATGTATACTAGACACATTGGAAGGTTATATACATTCATCGGACGTGCCTGATCGCATACCAGACACTGAATATGTCGGAAACTTTGAAACGCTAATCCCAGATAGAATGTCTTGGTCAAGCGGAACATTAGAGCAAATACCAGTAGGAATCCGTTGCTACACGGATGGCTCTAAATTAGAGGACAAAGTGGGCCTGGGGTTCTATATTGAAGACCCAGAAACAGAAATATACCACCGTTTACCTAATCATAACACAAGCTTCCAGGCAGAAGTACGAGCAATAACGGAATGTGTAAATTGGATTAGAATAAATATGGCGCCCACAGGGCTTAATATATTTACCGACAGCCAGAAGGCAATTTGTGCGATATCAGGTGATAGAATTAAATCTAAGACCGTATTGGATTGTAAGAAAGCTTTAACTGAATACTCTCCCAGAGGTAAGGTTCACATCATATGGGTACCAGGCCACTCGGGAGTAGTCGGCAACGAAAGGGCGAATGTAATAGCTTTAAAGGGAAGGGAGCTCGATGTAGTTAACCTGACAAACGCAAAACCATTCGACGCAACAAAAGCTGAATTAAAAATATGGATGAGAGAATCCCATAAGGCCTCTTGGAATAATGAAACGGTGGGTAGAACCACAAAGATTCTATGGGGTGACCCTGATGAGAGCAAGACGAGAAATCTTCTCAAAATGAGCAAGTCTGAGGTTAGTATCAGTGGACACACAGGACTACGAGCACATCTATACATAATTGGACGTGCGAATTCAGACGAATGTAGAGCATGTGGAGAGGACAGTGAAACTCTGGAGCACTTTCTTTGCCATTGTCAGGCATTCGTCGAAGTTAGATCCAAGTATCTTGGAAGTGATGTTATTCCGGAAATAACATTCTTAACCAACACCGATTGGAAGATTCTTAGGAATTACGTCCAGGAAACTGAGTTTCTGAACATGGAAAAATAATACATTCAGTGAACAATTTTTTTTTTTTTTCTTGAATTGGAGCGCACAACAGGCCCGATAGTGGCCTAGGTGTATTTCTTCAGATTTGATGTAGTATACATCCTTCTATCAACCTAACCTAACCTGTAACCTTCAATTGTAAAGGGGGTGAATGAAAATGCATATAAATGGAAAAATAAAAAATATGTATGTATATTATCATTGAAGTATGTATGATTCTACATGTACATACATTTATTAGCGCCTAAAACTAACTAGTGTTATATTTTAGTCCAATCGGATTTCTTCAAATATTGTCCCATTAAATTTATATTTTCTTAACATTTCGATCTTAAATTCTAGAGGTATAAAAAATTTATATCAAAGGACAAACAACAAAGTTATTTACAATTTCCCAAGTCATATACATACATATTAAAAAAATAATGAATTTTTTGGTCTCTTTTAATTATATTTGTATTTTTAATTTTGTAGAATGTAGAAATAATGCACTAAATTCAGATATATTTAATGTCAATGCAAAATTAATGCATTAATTTCAAAAATATTTAATGTTAATGTAAAATGAATGCATTAAATTCAAAAATATTTAATGTTAATGGAAATTTAATGCATTAAATTTTACAAATTTAATGTTAATGCAATATTTTTTACATTAAATTGATTTTTTTTTAATTTAATGTTAATGCAAAATTAATGGAAATCGCCCAGGTCTGGAAAAAGTCTTGGTTTTATTACCGGAACCTTGGATCGTTCCTTATCTTTTGTACAAAATGCGCTTAAGAAATAACCATCAACTGAACACCGTGGAAGATTAAAGAAAACATCCCCAAAAACGGATAATCGTATAATTCTTATAGCAAAAAAAACTCTTTCATCTCTTCCAGAGCCATTACTTCAGATAATGGCAACGTAATTTTGTCCCGAACGGCTCGTTGAAGACTATATAATGCCAATTTACCTGGTAGAATAGCCAGAAGAATTCATTCGCTTCGGCAAAACAAATAACGAAACGGCTAACTTTCGCCAGAATTCACTCAAATTGGTCCGTGGAGACCAACCGTAAAATGATCACCAGTATGCCAAAAAGGGTTTTACTTTTCTTTAGATTTACTTTTCTGGTACCTTTGCTGAATGTACTTATTTTTTGTCCACCAATTAAAAACATTTTTAAGAAGACTGAAAGCTGTTTAGGATGTTAATTTATTTTTCTTTCGTATTTTTATTATAAATCTTTTAAAAAAATGAATTAGGTTCACTTTTTAATTTATCTTCAATAATTTTTTTATTATAAGCTGTTAAACAGAACTTTTACTGATGTACTTTCCCAATAAGCAAAAACCTTTGAAATGATGTAAATATGTATTTGAAAACCTATTCAAATTTCATACATAGCCTTTGAGAACAAATTTGAAAATTTTTGTTTTCAAATGGAAAATTATGGCCTTCTCAAACAAAAAGGCAGTTAGAAATCAAACGTATTTTTCAAATGTATTTCAAATTTAAAAAAAGGCTAGAGGTAAGCTTGAAACTAAAAAAATTTTCAAACGTATTTCAAGTATTCTTTATTATTATTTTCATACATATTTCAAACCCTAATTATAATGCTAACTATTGCAAAATTTATATATTTTTTTACATAACCTGAAAATAAAACATTCATACATTTATTTTAGCATATTTTTCTTTTATATCTCCGATTATTTCTCCTATATTTAACGTTTTTTCGCTCCCTTGTTGTAGGAAAAATGTTCTGTTTTTATTTTTCTAAAATAATTTAGTTTAATTAAACAGTTCAATTAAAACAAAACTTTGAAAATTTTATAAATATCACACATTATATTTTTTTAAACGTTTTTTGAAATTATCATGTTTATTTCAAAGGCTAAACTTTAAAATTTGAAAACAATTTGGAAAATACATTATTTAGTTAAGAAAATTTTCAAAAATATTCACAGGTTTGAATCGATGTTTATTGGGTATTTTTTTTTGTACATATGTGTATGTATTTGTGAAAAAAATAAAGATAAATTTTTTCTTTTATATGATTCTGAATTTTGTTTGCAGAAAACAATATGTAAATAAAATATTTATATAATTTCACAAAACGATTGTTTTGAAGAATTTTATGCAAAAATAAAACTTTAATTATTTTTAACACGTAAAAAGTTATGGCACTTTTTACGAAAAAATTTTAATTTTAAAATTTAAGTAAAAAAATTCCAGATCTCACTCTCGTGGACCTTCCTTTACGTATTTACAAAAGGCGATGAAGTTTTGTATAAATATTACTTTTTATATACATACATATGAGAAAAATAAACATTTTTGCATTTGTATGCCATTATCTTAAAGAGAACATTTAAACCCCTATTATGAAATTTCTAACAAATCGCCATAATATTGCATGTTATAGATAATAGTATACGTGAAAATTATTTTAAAAAATTAGTAAAAATAACGAAAAAATTCATTTTAGGAATAGATTTCGTTGCGTTTTCCACAGAATTGACTTCAAAAATACCCTTTTATTATCAGGAGAGTATTAGCTATAAGGCTGTAGCTGTGGTATTTTGCTGCCCAAAAAAAAAAAAAATTAATACATATCAGAGATGGGGGTAGTGCACTAATTTTTAACTATCACTAATTATTAGTGGTAGTTCAAAATTATTCACTACTTTTATTTATGTTTAGTGATGAATTGAAAAATATAAGCCTCATTCAATAATAGTGATAGTGATATTTAAAATTTTTAACTAAAAATATTTTAAAAATAGTTAAAATATTTGTTTTTACAGCCTAGTGAAATAATTTTTTCTACACTAAATTATTAGTTCAAAAAATATTCCTGCACTATTTTTTTTTTCAACAGAGAAATGTTTCACTCATTTGAAAGTTTAAGTTAATAGGACAGTCTAGAAATGGTTTAAGTCAACCAAAAACTCATTGGACGAATATTATTAATAAGTAAAACGTTCATTATTTACAAAGGTTCCAAGCTATTGCCTAAAAAACATCCAGTAACCACATCATTTTGAAAACTGGCAACGCAGATGACGTGGCAATCGAGGTACAAAATTAACCAATTAATTTAATTTTCCGAGGAGAGTTCACCGCAGAAGAAGGCAAAATTTTGGAATTTAGGTGTTTCAACCATTTCTTTTTAAAGCATGAGATGTTGTTGGGGTAACTGCATATGTAGGGTCTATCATAGTGCCATCGCTAACAAAATCTGTATTTTCCATTTTAATAGATGTATCTTTTAAAAAATTGAATCATTTATTGTCTTACAAATTTTTTCATTTTTATAAAAAAATAGTGCAAAGAAAATTATTGAAGCCTTTTGTTAGTGACTGTTTTTTTCTACACTATCACTCAATTGAGTTATTGTTAAAAAAATAAAATTATCACTAAAAAATATTAGTGCTAAAAATATAAGCTTCACTACCACTAAGCTCCAGAAAATTAGTGAAAAATATATTTTTTGAAATAATATTTAGTGCTAGTTAAATATTGATTTAACTAATAATTTAGTGCACTTCCCCCATCTCTGATACATATGTATATAACCTTAATGTACATACATATGTATGTATTATGTATTGTATTGTAATATCCCAACAAACATCGATTCAAACCTGTGAATATTTTTAAAAATTTTCCTAACTAAATAATGTATTTTTCAAATTGTTTTAAAATTTTAAAGTTTAGCCCATGGTTTAGCCTTTGAAATAAACATGATAATTTCAAAAAACGTTTAAAAAAATATTATGTTTTCAAAGTTTTGTTTTAATTGAACTTAGAAAATTTTCTTTCAAAAAATAAATTATTTTAGAAAAATAAAAACAGAACATTATTTTTCTAAAATAATTTATTTTTTGAAAGAAAATTTTATAAGTTCAATTAAATACAATACAGCAAGGGAGCGAAAAAACGCTAAATATAGGAGAAATAATCGGAGATATAAAAGAAAAATATGCTAAAATGAATGTATGAATTTTTTATTTTCAGGTGATGTAAAAAAATATATGAATTTTGCAATAGTTAGCATTATAATTAGGGTTTGAAATATGTATGAAAATAATAATACGTTTAAAAAATTTGTTAGTTTCAAGCTTACCTCTAGCCTTTTTTAAATTTGAAATACATTTGAAAAATACGTTTGATTTCTAACTGCCTTTTTGTTTGAGAAGGCCATAATTTTCCATTTGAAAACATTTGTTCTCAAAGGCTATGTATGAAATTTGAATATGTTTTCAAATACATATTTACATCATTTCAAAGGTTTTTGCTTATTGGGATGAAAATCTAAAACATTTTGTAGTTTGAAATGTATTGAGTCTTTTATAAATTTTTCAAAATCAGTTTTTCATAAAATACATGATACAACCATAGAATTATTGTTTTATTATGATAAAATACACAATTTATTTGTATTTCTCTTTTGAAATTATATTTTAATTCCCTTTAATTTTTCACCATAATTTCCTTCATAAGCCATTTGGAATTGAAAATAAACCAAAACAATATTTTTCATAATACATGAATGAAAATTCTTCAATACATTTTGAAAACAAATTTGACTTTGTATAAATACAATGAAACTCTGATATTAATACAAAATTTTGTAATATAAAACCCCCTTTAGGAAGAAATCATAACTTAGGTGTAAGGGGAGAATAATTTAAACGCAATCCATATTGTAGAAATATTAATTTTTACATTTTGAAACACTTATTGCATTTTTTTCATTTAAAGAAGTTAACAAAATATTTCACAATGTAAAAAGTTAGATTTATTTAAACAAAGATGAAGCTTTCTTTTATTAAAATATTTGTTTAGTTACCTATTCTGGATTGTCATTTGCATATTATTCATTTAATATGCTAATGTTGTGCTAATTTTACTAAAATTGTCATTGTTCTTTAGTATATACATACACATACACATATAAAAATGTATCATCACGTATGTTTATATTCGATGTTTTATCAATTTATCAAATTACGAAAAATATTTTTTGTGGAAATCTGATTTAAGCATAAGGCCAATTTGTATAGGCCTTATAATTTAGTGTTATAACTTTAAATGCGTTTATTTATAGGAATAAATATCTTTGTATATAAAATAGTTACCACAAAACGGTATTCCTTCAGGAACCCATGTGCCCTTATCACAGACTCGTCTTGCAGGTCCTAACAATTCAAAACCTCTTTCACATGAATATGATGCAATGGTACCATCTGTTAAATTTACATTCGAAAACACAACTGTACTATGTGCTGGTGACCCAGGAAAACTACAATGAGATGATTCTGAAATGAAAATAAAATAATAACGTTAATAAATTTCAATTTAAAGAAAAAACAAGTAAGAATGTGTAGTCAGGCATGGCCGACCATATGATACCCTAAACTATGTTAAAAATGTGGATTAATTAGGTAATACAAAGCATTACCTTAATTTTAAATATTTTAACTATTTGTTGCGATTAGAGCGTTTTACGTTGACATTAAAGTTATTTATGCAGAATTTCATAATGATATAAATGTTTAAAAGTGAATTTTCAACTTCAGGTCATTTTCTGAAGGGGACTTTGTATGGAGGCTAGGACCAATATTTTTGGGTGCTACAAACATCAGCACAAACGCATAATTAATAAATACTTGTTATACACTATTCTTGAAACTTAATCCAATGTCTAAAGAATAGGCAAACAGAAAGAAAATGTCGCTCAACTTTTAACATAAATACTAATAATAAAGTAATAGTGTGATCCACACACAAAACTGAACAAAAACCTGTCTGTATAAATACTTTCCAGTGTTGTTTATATATATATGTACATATGTATGTAGGTATACTATAGATACATACATATTCACATGTATCTATGTACATATGTCTGTACAAACATACATATAGAAATTAGAATTATAGAATGCGGTCAAATCTAAAATAAACCGTAATCAATGACCGAAATTATACATAAATACATATGTATGTGTGTATGTACATATGTGTTATTTTAACATTTTACAGTTTAAACGTGGGGAAAATAGATCGGTTAGTGAATAAATAATAGTCAAAGTGATGAAAAAAGAGAGTCATAAGTTTATACATAAACATATTTCCGTATGATAACACTCGCAATGTTGTAACAAATAACTAAGTATATACACACAAATTGGAAATTCAATGAATTCACGCGAATATTATTTATTTAAAAAATAGAATAACAGACTAAATTATGCAATGTCTGGTAAATTTAAACATCAGCAACTTCCATTTGTATGGAGCAAAAATAAGGTACTGTGACTGATATTCAAACCGGAAATATTTTTTTTTTGTCTTGTAGTCAAAGGATAAAAAGGTAATGTTTAAAAGATTTTTATATTTGTTCCAAAGAAAATTTTTTTGTACCGGGGTCAAAGGATAAAAAGGTAATCTTTAAAAGTTTTTTGCATATTTGTTCCAAAGGAACAAATTTTGAGATTTTGATATCATATGAAAGGTCTTTGAGGGTTTTATTTATACAATTTTAATTGTATTAGTTATAACTTAGAGTTTTAGATTCGAGTTTTTATTTTGAATTATACCCGATTTATCTGAAAGTTGTATGTCGTTATCATGTATGATATGGCGAGTGAAATGGTAAAAAATCTATGGTTGTATCATGGTATGTACATTCCAAACCTTGTTTTATTTTTTTATTCCATAAACATATGCACTGAATATAATCCATGCTCAACTTTACGAAAAAAAAATTTCGTAACTTTTATTTTCGTAATATTTACAAAAATTTCGTATATAATACAAAATATAATTTAATAAAACCCTTTTCTATTTTTACGAAAGTACGAAAACCTTTCGTAATATTTTTTTCTTAAATTTTAGCGAAATTAAACATAATGATATTAATTATATTATCATTAAATAAAACTACAATATTTTTATAAAATTTAAGAAAAAGTATAATATTATTCACGAATTATTTTCATAAAAAAAATTAAAAATTCGTGTGGAGAATAATTCTGAATTAAAATTAGAAAAATTATTTTAAAATGAACAAAAATGTTTGCATAAATTAATATTTCGTAAATTTAACCATATTTATTCAAAATTCACTTTTTTCAATTTATGTAAATTAATTTTTCCAAGATTATTTTGCATTATACTAAAATATTTCGTACAATTTCGTATATATTACGAAAGAATTTCGTGGTGCGAAAGAACGAACGATTCGTACAATGTACGACATTTTTCATATATATTAGTCATGGATTTTTTTCAGTGTGTAAAAAAATATTGTTGAGAAAAAAATGTGCATATTTTTTTCTCTGTACATTTACAGGTACAGAGAACTTATTTTGACCATTTTTGAGGTGCAGTCTTCATTTTCGCATGCATTAAAGTAAAATGAAAAACTGGAAATTTTCAATACCTCTGAAAAGAATTTTTCAAAGACCCCTTTCTGCCCAAAAGCGAGTCGGTCGGCATTCCTCTATATGTAAAAGGCCATTATGTGTTTTTTATATAAATTTTTCTCTTTCTACTTCGACATTCCGCACATTTTACAAAGCTCTCCCCGAGTTATGGATATGTAATCTATATTTGCACCTAAAAAACGTATTTGCTGGTATTAACAGCAAATCTTTGTGGACATTATACAAATAAATATATGTATAATAAAACGTTATACGAGAATCTCTTTTGAAAGTTACACTAAATGTCTCACTATCCATACATACTACGATCAAAAATGATGCTAAAAACGGCTATAAAGCAATTGCTCATACTTGAATCTACATAGCAAAGCATATAATAAACAATTAAAAAATCTGAGCACTGAATATTTCTCTAACAAATAAAAAACAAATTGTTTGAAATTAAAAACGTCAAAAAATTTGGCCTTTGGCAACACTGTGCAGTGTAAATAAATAGAGAACCAGTAATAATCGACTAAAGATAAAATCTAGATCACTTGAGGAACCTGTTACTCAATGGAAAGAATATTGGCATTTGAGCATAAAATTTTCTTATATTTGCTAGCTTTTTCTTTAAGTTTATGTAACTGTTTTATACTTTTTTCTTCGTGTTATAGCAAAATGGTTATAAAAATCAACATACATATGCATGTGCATGTACATATGCACATAATATTAGAGTGCATTGAAATCATGTTCATACATATGTACATATATCGTCATTAAAAACCTAAAGGTACCTAACATTTTAATTATATTACAAGAGAATAAAAACGTAAAAAAGTCCCCAAAAATATCTTATTTTGTTGATTTGTGTCTAAAACTAACTGGCGTAAAATTTTAGTCCAATCGGATAACGGTAAACCCGTGCCGGCAATAACTTTGTTGTTCGTATTTTCATATAAATGTTTTATACTTCGTTGGATAGACAATTCTCTTGAAGATTTGATCAAAATGTTAAGAAGATACTTTTAATTTCACAATTTTTTAAGAAATCAAAAAAGTTCTATTGTTTACCGTTTTACACTTTTCAAACAATTTCCGACACCAGTTAGTTTTGGACAAATGAATAAACAATATCCAAATGAATAAACAATAATCCAAACAAAATCGATACTTTTTGGGCGCTTCTAATGTAGTTTTAATGCAGTTTGAATTTTGTCAATATTGTCAAATTTTGTATTTAAGATCATCTGCGTTATAGTTAACGATATGTATGCATTTACATTTGCACATGTTTGTAGAAAAAGTGCCAAGAAATGCCACATGGGATAAAGAAAAAACAACTTTGGAAATATGTATTTATATGTATATATGTACATACATACATACATATGTATGTATGTATGTATGTATGTACCTAACATTGTTTATGCTCATGGTTTGGATGGAAATGTTGTTAGACCGTTAGTTAAAATCAGTATGTTTTCCACATGATTTTTTTGCCACTGTAAATTTTTTTAATTATAAAAAAGTGTACGGTCGATGTGTAGATACTACATATACAGAAGTATGTATGTAAATATACATATTTACATACAAACTTACACATACATATATGTACAAAAAATATATTATTTTTCGAATGGTGCTCAGTTTTTGAGACCCATTTCAAAAAGATTGCAGAAAATTCTTTTGGAACATATTGTACTGAGATCAAGATTTTCAATCGCTGGTAGGGAAATCAGGACCTTTCAAATTTTTCTCGTATTTAGTACATTAAAACGCCTAGTTTGAGGGGTATTCCTCCAAAAAAGTGGTCCACGGAACACACTAATTTACATTAGGGTAATAAGTTTTATACAATTTTTTAACATTTCGAATCGGCGCTCTCCTAGCGTTAAATGTTTTGAAGATTTCGATATTTACCTTAAACTAAATTTTATCTTTTTTAATACAAAATCGGAAGTTTTCGATATAAACGAGTGTCATTGTTTGGCCAACGACATTTACAAGGAGGAAAATCAAGGATAAGGGCTGCGGTTTATCCCTCTTCCTCTCTTAGCACGCAAACAAGTAAAAATAAATGAAAATTTGTCTGTGAATGGTTTTAGGAAATCGATTAGCCGCGGAAGGGTTTTGCAAAACCTTTTCCTACGAAAAGTATTTTCGTTACTAGAACACTATTGGCGGAGTGATAGGGCGTAATTTTGCGTATAATCATAATATACACACATACTATATACATATGTATACAATGTAATATGCTCTTATAATTTAAAAAAATATGCTCTAAAAATAAAAGTTTTAATTATTTTTTAACTTTGAAAAGTTAAAAAACTGAAAATGTAATGAAATAATCAGTATTTAATGTCAATGCAATATTTATTTTTAATAACAAAGGCCAACGAAATGAAAAATTTAAACCAATTGGACTATTTTTTAAAACTTAAGAAGCCTATTTCCCATTATCTTGAATTATATATTCTTTAAAATAAAATTTTTATATAAAATGCATAACAGTAAAGAGCAAAGTGTGTTTTTCAAAAATTACTTACCGCTAATATGAGAGAGATATCGATCTAATTACTTTTTACCGCTAATATGCGAGAGATATCGATCTAATTACTTTATTATTTTATTCCCTTCTTTATTATGCATAAGTCACATGGAGATTTTTTTAAAATTTGAAACTGGATTTTTGAAACTGCCGCCTGAAGGGTTTCCCATTTATTACTACATATACCCAAATACGGTTTGCACCAGTGTACCCTGGTTTGCACTATCTAATGAGGATAAAAATTCACATTTAAGTTAATAGGAATATATTTAACGTAATGACATCGTTTTACTGGAATATTTTCCAAAATTTTTTATTTTTTTTTAAT